TAGAAAAGTACATCTTTACTACTTCATATGGTGAATTTCTGATAAGAAGAAACAAGGTGCCCGTAGTCGAAAGACATCAGCCTGGAAAAAGTTGACAGCTGCTGAAAAAAAAAAACCCATATAGTCTGAAACGCGAGTTAGATGGATGCCAACAGTGCTCCTACAGGAGGTGTCACCCGCTCATACGCGAGATCTGGACTTATGTGTCAGACAAAATTCAAATATTTCTGTCACGCATCACCATACATCTAGCCATCGAAATCGCTTTTTCCTCAGAAATGGTTTAACATGCTAGTATAAGTAAAACAAGTACACACGACACTTATTTCACGTGTGCGGACTTAAACACGCACCACAACTTTTGCAAAATTAGAGGAGCCTAGTCAGCCTAGTGCTTGGGTTGCCATTTTACCAGCTATTGCGATGTACCCATACTCATGATGTATGCTTGCGTACGAACTAATTGTAACACTTTTTGCTCACATAAGAGCGCAGAATGTCCCAGCGAAGGTTCAGCTTCCTGATTTGCCTCGTTACCGAAATCGGTTTCTTGCCAAAAAAATTGCATTCACGTTTTAAGAAGTGCGCACCTGAAACCCATGTGTAGGACAGTCTGCTAAAATCGGAGAACCACGTCTGCAGTTCAAATGGATCTGATACTTAGTTGATGAGTGCACTGTATTACTAATGACAGAAATAAGTAGGAGTGGAGAGGGAATCATACGCTGGAAGAAACTTACAATGGATTTTAATTTTTGTGGACCAAGGAAATGCGATGTTCAGGTTGAAAAGAGTTAAGCTTTAATTTTTCAGTCCTCCGACAAAAGTCTTGAAAGGTGAAGCGGATGACGCATCAACGATAGACAATGACATGCAGAGCAGGTATGGCACAGCTATACTCTGGATTTTGTTTCATAAAAAAGATAAAATGCCGAAAAAAGGACCATCAGTAAACTGTGCCTCTTACCAACAATCACTTTTCACCCTGTGTTAAATAAACTGCAGTGCACCGGGCTTGTCTGGTGCGATCATGCGTTTTTGCGCCAACTTGTAGATCGCTAAGTGCAGGAATGACTTCTGCACTGTAGTTTTACAATTTGGACTCATATTGGCAGTGTTTTGGCCTCATCCTCTGTGCAAAGGGAAAGGGCATCGGCTGCAACGAAGCTGTTGCATAGACTTCCAGCATGCGTGGTTATCAGTTTTTTGCATGAAGTGTGGTCGTCTTTCCGGTGAATGCTCATTCTTTGGAAAAATGCAAATTCGAGGGAAGTCGAAAGAGG